GTTTTAAAAATATGAAAATGACAGTGAGCTGTATTACCAGGAATTATATTTTTTAAATTCCAGGTATGGCCTTTTACATTTAAGAACAATGGAGAGACAGAAACAAGCCTATGGGGTAGGTGCAGAAAATGAATGGGATTTAGAAAGGGAGTTCAGTTGGGGAATTAAGGAAGGCCAAGAAACAAATACATTCAAAATGGATTTAGAATCTCTCCTCTAAATCTACCCTTTCCAAAAATGTTTCCTAAATTGAGAGATTTGGTAAAAATGAAAAAGCTAGTGACAATAAAAGTGACTATTTTACCTTATAAAATAAAGTAGTATTTAAATGTAGATTAGAAATTATGCTGTAAAAGATAAATCTGCTGACCAGGCTGTAGAACCTGAGACTTAGGTGCTGCTGTCAGTGATAGAAGGCAGAAAAGTGTCTCAAAACCAGAATTACCATACTAGGACTCAACATTAATGAAACTTAAGAAACAAGTACTTAACTGTTGGTAATTGAAGTCCAATGAAAAACACATTTGTATGTTTACTAAAGCAATCTAACAGTTTTAGCTAATAGGAAAAATGCTGCAGCTACATTTCAGTCTTTTAAGGTAAAATGAGAAGATCTAGAATATTCTAGTTCAGTATATTGGGCTCAAAACCAGCTTTCCTTTTGAAATGCATCTAGACTAGACTATAATTCCTTACGTAGTATCATTGTATTGATCATCTTCATGTTTTTCTCTTCAGTGGGTTTGCTTCATTGACTGTGTTCTATGACGAAACCATGTTGGTGGTAATAAGAATATTTTGGGGCCCAATCATTGTGGGATTAGTTGGAACATTTTGAACTGCAGTTGTTGCGGGAACTGCTTTGACAGGTGTGGACTGAGAAGGTGGAATCTGCACTGTTAAATCTTTGGCTTGTCCCTGACATTGGAGTTGAAACTTTATTTGGGACAGACACTGTTTGTGGGGTCGCTGTGATAGGAGTGGTAGGTTTGCTAACAGCACCAACAGTTAATTGTGAAACTAGTCTCCCTTGGTTGGGTCCCTTTTTAATTAAGGACTTCAACCTATAGTTTGGAGTTGTTAAGCAGTATCTATCATCTGCATCAACATTAGGTTTCTTAGCGTGGCTTGAATAAATTTTTGCGTCATGCAGAATTGTTACATTTCGGAAAGCAAATTCCAAAATTTGATTTATAACCTTTAGTTTGTAGTCTGTGATTCCCATATCCTTCAGGATCTGTGCCATCACCAAGGCATCCCTTGGAGCATTCTTGGGAGGTGCCATCTTGCCTCACTCCATGTTATCCAGACACTTGTCATCCAGAGAAAGAGCCTATTGATATTCTTTAACTGAGTTGGTCATTTCATGGTTTTTCTCCTGCTGCAAGTGGTTCAAGTGCTGACCCAGTTGCTCATATCCAAAAACAGACAAACAAACAAAAAAGCCATGAATCATCTCTAATGTGTTTTTTTCCTTTTCCAAATACTCTTGACTTCATAGTACAGTCACCAAAACTTATTGATTTTACTTCCTAAGTTCTTTTCATGTCCATTCACTTTTTTTTTTCTACCGGTTGTAAAACTACCCTAATTTAAGCCACCAGCTCTTTTGGAGTTCTGCAGTAGTTCCCCATGGGGTCTTCTGATACCTGCTTTCTCTACATAGCGGCTCAAGTGATATTCTGAAAACAGATCACATTGTTTTACTCGTCTTACTTTCATCTCTGTAATGGCTTACCATTGCAATGAAAAGCGACCAGAATGATCTTTATCTCTCCACTGCTTTCCCCTTGTTTCTCTTGGTACTAAACACTGATCTCTCTGATCCTTCAAAATATGCTAAGCGATCCCCAGCTACCTTTGTGCTATTTTCTGACAGGAATGGTCTCTTCCTTCCCTCTTCACTAGCTTCTTCTCATCCTTCCTATTCTGCCACAAATATCATTTCTTCAAGGAAGTTCAGGTTCAAGGACCTTGTTGTAAAGTCTCATTTTATGCTACATATTTGCTTAATAATATTTATCCGCATGATTAATTTTTAACCATTATATCCCCAGCACCTAGCAAATAAAGGATAAATAAATACTTGAGTAAATGAACATTATTAGTATTTGCTTGTTTTTGTATCCACAGACTACTTGCTGTGTGAGGGTAATGCCCATACTATATCTATTTTGGTCTCCATTATTTTTCCAGTATCTAACACATTCACACACAGACAAATATTTTTCAGTTACTGTGGTGGGTCTGTCATTATTTGTTTAATACCTTTTCCCCATAGACCTTAAATTGATTATGTCTGTCTTGTGCACCCATTCCAGTGCTTAATACAGTGCCTGACATGTAAGTATTTGGTAATGTTTTTTTGTTGTTATCATCGACCTGTCTCTACTTTGCACTATGCACATTTAACCCATTCACATTTATTCTAATTGCTAATATGTTTAAACTTACTTCTGATATCTTATTTTGTGTTGTCTATATTCTTGCTTTTTTTTTCTTTTCTCCCTGTGTTGTTTAGATCAAGGTTTTTTCTATAATAGGTTTATTCCTGTAAGAGTTAGGAAGTTAAATATAATCTTTTTAGTCTTTTAATTATTGACCTGAAATCTGTAATGCAAATTTTTAATTTTATATTTTTCTACCAACATCTTACCATAAGACAAGAACCTCTGTTCTGCTCCCTTCCTTGCTACCTTTCTTATGAAAAAATTGAGATTTTGCTTTCCAACTGTGATTATCTATACCAATCAAAACTTGTACCAGTACTTTTATTTTAGATCCTACTCCCCAGTATGTATTTATTTTTAAAAATTAATGTAGGCTATATTTATTTTTTTGGCTATAATAACTTTCCTCATAATTCTTTTAGATAGGATTTGAGAGTGATATAATTTCTGTATTGTCACATATCAGAAAATGTATTTTTTTTTTGCCCCTGTACATGATTAGTTTGACTGGAAATGAATTCTGCATTCCTAATCGTTTTCCCTCATTTTCAAAAAATTTGCTTCATTGTTTCCAGTGAAATATCTGACATCAAATAATTTTTTCTTTACATGTAATGTTTCTTCTTACTTGAAGACTTTTAGGATTTTGTTTTTAGCCTTGCTATCATAAAATGTCACCATTATATACTTAGCATTTGTTTTTGTTTTGTTTTCCATACATACTAGCTCTTCAGCTATAAGAAATTTATTTCTGTTATTTTTTTGAGCAGTTGCCTTCTTCCATTGTTTTTACTGTTTTTCTGGAATTTCCATTAACTGGATGTAAGAAGTTTTGGTTTATCCTCAATGTCTATTTGTTCTTTTTATGCCTCATTCTCAGAAAATGCCTTTGGTTACTAATTAACTGATCACTCTTTAGCTGTGTTTATTCTACCGTTTGACAACATCTATGCTTTCTTCTTTATTTTATATTGTTAATTTATTTTATATTACTTATTAATTTATTTTTGAGACTACATTGCCCAGGCTGGAGTGCAGTAGGGCAATCACAGCTCACTGCAGCCTTGACCTCCTGGGCTCAAGCGATCTTCCCACCTTAGCTTCCTGAGTAGCTGGGACTACAGGCACACAACACTATACCTGGCTACCTAATTTTTTTTTTTTTTTTTTTACCCAGGTTGGCCTAGAACTCCCAACTCAAGTAATCCTTCCACCTTGGCCTCCCAAAGTGCCTGGCTTCTTTTTTATTTTAATGTTTAAATTTTTTATATCCAGCTGGGCGCAGTGGCTCACGCCTGTAATCCCAGCACTTTGGCAGGCCAAGGCAGGCGGATCACAAGGTCAGGAGTTCGAGACCAGCCTGGCCAGTATGGTGAAACCTGGTCTCTACTAAAAATACAAAAATTAGCCGGGCATGTTGGCGGGCACCTGTACTCCCAGCTACTCGGGAGACTGAGGCAGGAGAATCACTTGAACCTAGGAGGCAGAGGTTGCAGCGAGCCAGGATGGCACCACTGCACTCCAGCCTGGGCAACAGAGTGAGACTCCGTCTCAAAAAATAATAGTTAGTAAATAAATAAATAAATAAATAAATAAATAAAATTTTTCTATCCAAGATCCATAGTTGAGTCTTTCTCTGAATATAGTATACTATTGAAACTTTTTAAAGTTTCTTCTGTATTTCTGTCATTGCTACAGGATTAGTTCTTCTGATACTGATTCTCATGCATCTCCCCCACAGTTGTTGTGGATCCATATGTGTTTGAGAGGTCCTGCCAGCTTGTCTGTGAATACTGCATTTGCTTCTGACAGCTGTGGAGAAGGGCAGTACATACCGCACAATGGGATGTGCCTGTGACAGCAGTTCTGAGCTTGGTTACTCCCCTTTCCTTTTGTGACTCTAAGCATGCACGCTCACTGCTCAGAGGCAGACCTTTTTGTTGATGAGGTGATAAGGAGGGAGAAGCCAAAATAATTAGCTGTTCCTCCAGAGTTCAACCACTCTCCCTAATGCTTGCTCTGAGGACACTTCCTATTCTGTAGATCCTCTGGCTTCTCTGCCCTTGGGATTGTTTTGGAAACTTTTTTTACTTTTCATCACCACCCTCTCTGGAGGTTTCTTCCTTAAGTCCTTTCATATTTGCCTTTTCTCTTTCAGGAATTTCTCAAAATTCCTGATTCTTTAAAAGCACACCTCTTTTGCTACTGCTGTACATTACAGGGATTTAAAGTGGAAGGGGCCATTAGCTCCTTAGATCAGAGCGCTGTATTGATCCATGCTTGTATTCAAGAATTCTGCATATCCTTGTTTAAATATATCCTTAATAGTATATACAAAGGGAAAAAAATAGATAGATCTTAGGCTCTGACACAAATGTGGCTGTCTCCTAATACTAATGTTATGAAGGTCGTGGGTATAATTATTATATTTAAGTGAATCCATACATTCCCTTCTACCTGTAAAATCATAAAACCACAGTGCTCTTTTATTATATATTATTTTTGTAACATATAGTGAAAAGTTAATTTCAGTATTTTTTTTCCTATTAGGTTACTCCTGATTCAGCCATTCTAGGAGTTCTTCAGTCCAACATTCAGCATGTGCTGGTCTATGAAAATCCTGCTCTTCAGGAGAAAGCGTTGGCTTGTATTCCAGTCCAAGAACTAAAAAGGAAATCACAAGAAAAGTTATCAAGAGTTAGAAAATTGGATAAAGGTAGTAGCTTTACATAATCATTTATTGCTAAATGTAAATCATTGCTAAATAAACAGAAAATACTGAAATACAACTGACCCTTGAACAACACGGGTTTGAACTGCATGGGTCCACTTATACGTGGATTCTTTTAAACCAAATGTGGATTCACAGGATGCAAAACCCATATACGGAGGGTCAGCTCTTTATATACATGGGTTCTGCAGGAATGACTGAGACATGAATATGTGTGGATTCTGGTATAGGTAGGGGTCCTGGAACCAGTCCCCGGCATATACCAAGGGACAGTTGTAGTGCCTTTTGCTCTTATACATTGTTTTACAGTGTTATACATTATAAATATTTAACCTATTTCAATTTGAATTTTTAAGAAGTATAATAGTATAATTCTATTGCATATATCTCGTGGGCACATATCACCCTTTTTTTCAATTTTTTAATTGAAGTAAAATACATATAACAAAATTTACCATCTTACCCATTTTTAAGTGTACAATTCAGTGTTATTAAATATAGTCATAATGTTGTTCAGCTATTACCACCATCTATAGCTTTTTTTATCTTGTAAAACCGAAATGATACTCATTAAATAATAATCCTTCCCCAGCTTCCAGCAACCACTATTCTACTTTGTTGCTGTGATTTTGACTATTCTATCTCATATAAGTGGAATCATACAGTATTTGTCTTTTGGTGACTGGTTTATTTCACTTAGCATAATGAACCTCAAGGTTCATCCAGTGATATGGTTTGGCTCTGTGTGCCCACCCAAATCTCACCTTGAATTGTAATCCTTATAATCCCCATGTGTCAAGGGTGGGACCAGGTGGAGGTACTTGAATCATTGGGGTGGTTCCCCCATGCTGCTCTCATAATAATAAGTGAGTCTCGTGAGATCTGATGGTTTTGTACGCATCTAGCATTTCCCCTGCTTGCACTCATTCTCTCTCCTGCTGCCCTGTGAAAAGGTGCCTTCCGCCATGATTGTGTCAGGAGGCCTCCCCAGCCATGCGGAACTGTGAGTCAATTAAACCTTTTCTTTATAAATTACCCAGTTGCAGGTATTTCTTCATAGCAGCATAAGAACAAACTAATATATCTAGGTTGTAACATATTGCAGAATTTCCTCTTTTTTTTTTTGGCAGTTTTTATAGTTTTATTTAAACACAAAACATGCACATGGGCTGTCCACTCATTTTCTTAGCTGTGCAGCCTCGCATTGGGGTTGGTGACTCTGATGGCTAGCTGGGTGGCTCTTTCCATGATGGCTTTGCAGTTCTTGGAGGAAACGTTGTGAGCATTCTCAGCACAGTAAGATTTGCGGCACATCAGCAGCACTTACAGCTCCTTGACGTTGTGGACCAGGAACTTCTGGAAGCCACTGGGCAGCATGTCCTTTGTTTTTTTGTTGCTCCCATAACTAATGTTGGGCATCAAGATCTGGCCCTTGAACCTTCTATGAACCCTGTTGTCAATACCTCTGGGTTTCCGCCAGTTACACTTAATTTTGACACATTGGTCAGACTGGTGCCAGATGAACTTCTTGGTTCTCTTTTTGATGATCTTGGGCTTCACAAGGGGTCTGATGGCTGCCACCTCTGTAGGCAGCGCCGAGGAGGAGAGAGCTTCCTTCCTTTTTAAGGTGAATAATATCCTATTGTATGTATATATCACATTTTGCATATCCATTTATTCATTCATTCATGGATACTTGGGTTGTTTCAACATTTTGGCCATTGTGAATAATGTTGCTATGAACATGGGTGTGCAAATACTTTACTCTGAAATCCTGGTTTCAGTTATTTTTGGTATATACCCAGAAGTGAAACTGCTGGATCTTACGGCAATTCTATTTTTGTTTTTTTGAGGAACCACCATACTGTTTTCCACAGGGGCTGTATCGTTTTACATTGCTAACAGTGCACAAGTGTTCTAATTTCCCATGTTCTTACCAACACTTACTATTTTCTGATTTTTTCAATAGTAGCCATGCTAATGGGGATGAAGTGGTATGTCACTGTAGTTTTGATTTGCATTTTCCTAATTCATGATATTGAGCATTTTTTTCATGTGCTTATTGGTCATTTGAATATCTTCTTTGGAGAAATGTTTATTCAAGTCTTTTGAACATTCTTTTTAACAACTTTTTTTTTTTTAACTGAATATGTATTTGCAGTTTAATCATTGGTATATGAATATTTTAGGTAAAGTAGAACTTTAGCCCACAGAATATATGATAGCATCACTAGTGAATTTAAATTAGTGAATTTTAATGTGAATCTAACAGAAACCATATTCAGAATTAATCCATATGAATAGACCATTGACTCACTTTTATTGGTAGAGAGACATTATTTATTAAGAGTAGGTTTTGGAGTCAACTGTCTTTGTATAAATTCAGCTCCACTACTTCCTGTGCGTCACTGAGCAAGTTATTTAATCTCTATGACTCAGTTTCTTCATGTAGAAATAAGAATGATAATTTTTAGAAATAAATGAAATAATACATATACAAGCTGGGCTTGATGTACTGGATAATAGGAACTGAGGTAAACAGGCCTTTCATGTAAGGTTTTATGCTAATCTAGGAATTAATCTAACTAGAGTTGTTTTCTTGTTTGCTATAGCTGTAGGTATCAGGGGCTTCAAATTCCTCCAGTGTTCTTGTTGTCTCCCCCATTGTCTTTAGGCTTCCCTAAGAGCTCCTCCTTAGGGTCTGCATTTATCCTGCTTGGTGTTTGTTTAGTTGTAATCCATTGTTACTATACTGGAGCCCTATTGGTGTGATGGTAAGGTATCAAGGAGAAGGTTCTATAATCTTTTGATTAAATCTCGGTATTTTAGTGGGCCTATATCTCTGGGCCTGTGCCTTTCACAAGTGTTTGTTAGCCTTTTTACCCCCATAGGTGAGACAGGAGGGCTACAAGGGGCTGGAGTCGGGGGAATGTATGTCCTTCCCCCAGTTCAGAGAAGACTCTGGTAAAATCTTTTTCCCTAGAGAGTAGGCCTTAATTGTGAAGAACACTCTGGCTATACCTCACAATTCTTACTCATCCCATCTTTTCTAGAGCCACAAAGGATTTTTCTTGGTTCTTCATTGTGAAAACCTGGTGGGCTTCCTGCAGGCAAAATACACAGAAGTGTAGGGACCTCTCCCAAGACTGAATTTCTTACTCCCAAGCTAGTCCATACTCAGCTTGCAGCAGTTTGTCAAAATTGCTATTTAAATATCCTTACCAGTTTATGGCTCTAGTGACTTCTGTTCCATTTAAGCAGATTTGGGCTGTGATTCTCTTTATTTGTCTGTCTTTTTAGATTTTGGGGTGATAGTTCACTCTGTGACCTCAGTTCTCTAATGGGTCCAAGAAAAGTCACTGATTTCAGTTGAGCTTTTTATTTTTTTTGACCTCTGCTTGATTGAAGCTGGAAGCTGAAACCAGAAATCCCTCTGAAGGCTTAACTATGTGTATCTCTTCCTTTTTTAACCATTTGATCAATTTTCACATATGTCATTTATATATTTTGCTACCCATTGTATTTTGGTGATTTTTGTCTTTTTTAAAATGTTACGCTATGCCATTTTAAAATTTTTGATGACTGGCTTGGGCCTTAGATTTACTTCTGCTACAGGCCTGCTAACTTTAAGACAGTTGTTCTCTTCTTGTATTAACAGTTTTTTTCCTGTGTGTACAATAAGAATACTTTTTAATATGTGATTATACAGGCCCTGTCCAGCTTCAAAGTACTGTGGTCCTTTATATGATGCCTTACATAAATGCCTGTTTATCAGGTACTTACTGAACATGTTTTGTGTTTGAGTCGTTGGGCTGGGCCCTGCAGGGGAGAGACAGTATAATAATATAGCCTTGCCTTAAGAAGCAGCTGAATAGAAGATGAGAATTCAAATATACAGATCAACTGAGTGTAAAGCAGAGTCCAACAAATGTAATGTATGAGGTATAATTTTTAAAACATGTTGTAGACCAACCTGGCCAACATGGTGAAACCCTGTCTCTACTAAAAATACAAAAATTAGCCAGTTGCAGTTGCCTGTAATCCCAGCTACTTGGGAGTCTGAGGCAGGAGAATTGCTTGAAACCTGAAGGCGGAGGTTGCAGTGAGTGGAGATTGCGCCACTGCACTCCAGCCTGGGCAAAAGAGCGAAACTCCGTCTCAAAAAGTAAAAAAAATGAAAATAAAAAAAAAACCATTATGTTGCTAAATGAATAAACTTCAATGATAAATAGCATAGAGACAGAATGTTCCTGTTTGTGTCCATCATATTTTCTCTCTCTAGGCAAATAACCAGGAGATTGCTCAAGGAGCAAGAATCTACAATAAAGAGCATTAGTTAGGTGAACGTTATGTTTATCCTGATGCATTTGTCCATCTGTCCTCACAGTGGGAATGGTCTTATCAGTGGACCAAGAATCCTTCAAGTCCATTAGCTAAGACTTAAAGTCCATGTCCCATAAAAATCTGCTGATGTTCCCTGCTAACATTTGCTCCAGCATTTTTTCTTTCTAATTATAAAGATAATACAGGGGTTGTAGAAAATTTGGAAAATAGGGAGAAGATAAACATCAATAACTTCATCACATTGGAGTATGACTTTTAAGATCTATGTATACATTCTTTCATACTTAAAAAGTTTTAATTAAAATAGGAAAGAAATGCCAGCAGATTAGTAGTGAAAATTATGAAAATCAGTACAAGACTGGACTTTTTTTTTTTAAGGGCGTGAAGGATGAGTGGGATTTATAAAATATGTCAGAGTACATACTAAGAGATTGGGGATTTTCTTCCAAGTGTAGTGGTCAACATGCATAGAGGCAGAGAAGGACAGGCTCTATTTGGGAACAATGAATAATACAGTTAGACTGTGTGTAGGGTAGGGTGTATATAAAGCAGTGGAAGATCAAGTAGGCTGAAACCGTATTTTGGTTGACATTGAATTTCAGACAGAGCAGTGTATACCGAGTTCATTTTTAATGTTTTCA